AGAGAACTCAAAAACAGTTGACATTGCAGAAGAAGTTCTATGAATTACTCCCATCATCCCAGGATCCAGCTGGCCCAAATCGGGACGCCACCCCATAGACACTAACCCCAGCACCACCAGGCCATGCCACTGCCTCGAGGTACTCCAGAGGACAAGCGTTCTGTGCTCGCCCAGGGTCCCTAAGGAAACCTTTGTACGGGGAAGGCTGAAAATACAGCTTTTGTTTTGTTACGATTATTATTACTGTTATTATTTTTTAGAAATGTATGTTTTTACAATGTGGAATATGTGCAAAAGAAAAACTTAGAGGAAACACAAATAAAAGAAGCCCAATATAGCATATGTTCAATAGTCCCAAAACATAAAAGTTTGAGCATTTATTCCAGAAGAGGTAACAATCTTGAAGTGGAGTTAAGCCAGCGTATTTGCTCAAAATGATCAGCAAAGCTATGTAGAATTTTGGTGAAGTTTTCTCTCCTTCCCCTTAGTTTTTCAAAAAATCCTTTTTAAAAATGAGAATTTTTAATTCCTCAATATTTTTCCCATTGTATAAAATAAAAATTATTCTGTGATGATAATTCACCCTTTGTTGGGGGCAGGGACAAGCCTAAAGCAGGCTGATGCAGCCAGAGATGGAAATTGCGCGTACATAACGGGACATCTGTGGTCAGAAGTTTCCTGCACAACAGGATATCTGCAGTCAGAAGCCTTGCAGGTGCCTAGCCTGAGCACACGGGCGGCACACCAGTCAGTGCCTTGATCACGTGCCTATCATGCGCCCCCTAGCCTATCCCAGTTAAGAGCACGCCCCAAAGCTACCAACCAGAGCTACTTCCCCTATCTGCCTTCCTCTACCCTCCTCTATATAACTCCCTCCATTTTAAAATAAAACTTGCAGCTTGATCAGAATCCTTTGACTTGCTGTCGTTCTTTCGCGCCTCCTGTCCCATCCCTTTTCATCCGTTACAGGTACTTCGGCGGACCCCGTTGACTGCCTCGCGGGCCGAGGCAACCCTTGCCTTAACACCATGTGATCATACTTTCTTTTCTTGATTGTTTATATCGAGTGGAGATGGTTCACTTCTGTGTCCCCCTCCACTGCAAGTGTCAGTTCTTCATAGCCTGTTTCTCCAAACTGGAAACAGGTGGTTTTTATTTAAAAAATAGTTCTTCTCAACATATTATTAAAATTATTTACTTAGCATGATTTTTATTTGAGTAACAACACCAAAAAAAACCCCATGTTCTTTAATCTCAAGAAAGAAAAGTACATATCTGAGATATAAAAATTATTTCCCTTTAAACTGATGTAGAATTCTTGATGAATTAATTGTACAAGGAAATCAAAATATTGGAGAAACTAAAAATACTGAATTATTTGGATACTTTTGAGATAAAATTTTAAATTAAAGGGATGGCAATCCAAGTGAAGCCATCTGAAATTTTTCTTGCCCCCTAAAGCAATGAGGAATGAAATTTACTCCCTGTGGCAGAAAGTAGAATATTCTCTTCTTTGATGTAAAATGAGACCATATTTTCTAATCCCCTTAAATTTAGATGGAAGCAGGTGGCAAGTTCTCCTCAGTAAATTGTGAATAGAAGTGATATATGTTCCAAGTTCAGGTTGAAGTAAAGAAGTGGGTGTGCCTTTTCCCCTCTACTTTCTCTTTTGTGGCTGCTGCCTCTCCGTGCAGACTGGCCCTGAAGAATGACACAGCTATTGAGATGAGTCTCTGAAAGGCTGCATGGAGCAGAGTCCCTGCCGACTCACTCTGGATTTTGCAGTGTGCAGAAAAGAAATTGTTATTATTGTAAGCCTGTAAGGATTTTTAGAATTGTTTTTCGAAGCGGTTCACTTACGCTGACTGATATCCTTTTTCGAACATAGCATGATGCTAAGAGAGAAAGCAGTTAAAAGTTTGGTCTAATGATTATTGAAATAAATCTCTAGACTCAATATGGAGCTGCTCCTTCCTGAGGAGCCACGTCAGCAAACCAAAGCTGAGATAACTTTGTGCCCCTGCAAATGCTGCGCTGGACCAGAAACACAGTAAACTGAGGCACCCAGTCCCCCAGCACCAAGGCAACTCTGGGCTTTAAACTCATCTTTCTCTTCCCTCTCGCCCAAAACAAGGCCGACTGTGTGATCCCGGACAATGACGTATTTTCTACTTTTCTCTGCCTTATTTTTTGTCTCATAAAAGCTTCCTGCCTTCCACCTCATCTTGCTGTTCTCCAAATGGAAGTGTCCACTTCATGAAGTGTTAAATACTAGGTTTCTTTTTGTCATCTAAAATGCTTCATTTAATAATTTTTAACATGATTAAGGTTTTCATGATTCATATTTATGTGAAAGTACATGGCAAATTCTAAAGCATTTTGCAAAGTTAATATCTTATTATTAACATTAATAAAAATATTAATACAAACATCAATAAAAATGTTGAATTCAGTATTTCAATTGTGTTTTGGAATGGAAGCTGGGAAAAGGAATGAATACAAAAAAAATCCCCTTAAATCTGAATTTCCTGAAAAGTAATCTTTGTTGTAGAATCATGAAAGTTTAACTTCCCAATATCTAATAGCTACATTTATTAAGAAAAAGTAGATTTATAAGAAAATGTAGAACATAAATATTTTAAAACATGTAACGAACTTAAATCTTAATCTTTTTTTCCTTAATGCACTTTTATTTAATTTGGCGTGGCTGTTTGGAAGATTGTAGTCCTCGGTCAGAAGCAGTGTTTCAGAGCTCCGCAGAACCCCGGGAACTTTCTCGCTACTCCATTCTAATTTGCCTTTTTGCTATAATAAAATCCCTAAATATATTGCTACTGTCTAGACTTTTTATCCGAAACAAGTGTCCTTTGTAGTCTCAGAGGACTTTTTATTTCCAGTAAATCACAGTCTGTGAAGAGCTTTGGTTCTTATTAAGACATACCCTTCACAGTCCACTGATTGCCCACAGTGGCAAGCCATTGACAGTTCATTTACATATAAGTGATGACTTCCATCAGGTAGTTGGCTCAAAAACACAATGGACATTTAGAGCATATCCAATATTTCTTTTCTTTGATGAGCACCAAGTGCCAATTTTTATATGGAAACTAACGATTGAAAAGTAAAGGCTGACCTTACACTGTCTTCTGCAGCTAGAGAATGACTTACTGTCACTGAACTTATGTAAAATCACACCCCTAGGTGACATCTAGTAGCCCTATTTCAGTTTGGTAAAAATCAAGAGTAATAGTCAAATTTAGGAAACGTAGGACAAGAATGATTACATTTTATTAAAAGAAAAATAAACTTCTGTATTTGGCCCAACTTGTCATAATCATAACTTAATGTTGGTTTTATTTTTATAAGGTCATTTTGATATTGTTTTTATATTGTTTCCTCATGAACATATTTGCCACTTGAAGTAGTGGTACTTGCTACACAACAATCACTAGGAAATTCTGTACTGTGCTTTGTAAGGGCCTTTCTACAACTATTCGTTTGCTCTCAAGTTTTTTTGAATAGTGGGGGCAAAAAGTCTTGTCCAGTCCTTACCCTAGCAACACTATGAAAAGGAGACAGCCGGTGACCTGTCACCATGCTGTACCCAACTCAGGTCTGACACTTCTCCCTTTTTACTGTGCATTTTCCAGCTTTTTCTAGTATCGAAATGAAGAAACACTTCTCTTTTTTTTTTTTAATATTTTATTTATTTATTTTTTAGAGAAGGAAGCGAGGGAGATAGATAGATAGAGAGAGAGAGAGAGAGAGAGAGAGAGAGAGAGAGAAACATCAATGTGCGGTTGCTGGGTGTTATGGCCTGCAACCCAGGAATGTACCCTGGCTGGGAATCGAACCTGGGACACTTTGGTTCCCAGCCCGCACTCAATCCACTGAGCTATGCCAGCCAGGGCTAAAACACTTCTCTTTTTAAAATGAAACTCAATTACCAACAGAAAGAATATGAATACTTGAATTTCTTATAAGCTGACCTCTCCATTTCAGGTAGGAATCGCTTGTTTTCTCCCCATCAAATGTTTCACTGCGATCACTTTCTGACTGGAGCATCAGGATGATGTTGAGCACAACCCCATTTTGGTTTGGGTGAGATCCTGACCTAACACGATTCTTGCAATTGGCTTCTCTGAAGATGTCATTCTAATGATGTCCATAGGTATTCTACCGTAAACTCCATTGCACAAAGGAGCCAGAGAGACTTTTTTAAAAAGCAAAAGTTGATTATGGAAGTGATAGATCGGGGTAAGAACTATAAAATTGGAATGCCTGCCATGTAGTCCCCACCTCTAGTCATACCTAGTCTTTGCGCTCCTTTTACCGTCTCGTCCTTCAACTAGTGCTCCTTCGCTGGGTTTCCAATCCCATTTATAGAGGGAGGGAGGGAGGGATGGTAGACGAATGGTAGATAGATTAACTTAAATTCAAGACTCCTACAGAGCGGGGGTTAGCCCCTGTGCTGCAGTCCTTTCTGAACGAAGGCAGGTAGGGGATCAAGAATACTGTATAGTGACTGTCAGTGGTTCACTTCAGAGCGAGCAAGGAGAATAGGGAAAAACAGTATTATGACTACACGTCATAAAGTCATACAGTTGGAAGAGCATTTTGAGAAACAATTCCCAAAAGATTTAAGTGAGTTTTTTTAAAATAAGGATCTTGAAGTTTCTTTATGGCATCTGTCAATAATAGAAAACAACACCAAGTCCAGTGAAAGGAACACTTGACACTGTGGTTTCAGCAGAATTTTTATGAAAAATATCCAATGAATGGTTCATCCAAAGATATTTAAAACTTACAGACTGACTTGTTTCAAACCTCTAGATATGTAAAGAGGTTGTTGTTGTTAAAACAAGGTTAAATATGTAAAAACTTTGTTGTTTTGCCTGTTGATACCAAATTAATCCATGGCCAATGGTAACTTATCTCTTTGGGTAGATGAGTGCAACTCTCCAGATAGCAACATCGTATTGAAAACATCATTTTACTTCTCAAAACGCCTGCTGTTGTCTCATTTTCCTTTCTCTCATGTATGTGGCCACTAATCTCCCAACAATCCGGATGTTAGCTCTTTTGAGCACTGGATGTCCGCTCACTGTAAGATGAAATACATTATTAAATTAATAAATTTCAATTAATATGCCAAATGTTTCATATTTTTGAGATTATAAAATATTGCATGTAATTAATTATGGCTGTGCTAGAACATATGAAATACTTGAATGGGGTGCATTTCCTTCAGTGATATTATGTTACATTACATGTCATGCCAAGAATCTCAGCAGGATTTACTCTTGGATCAAAGATTCAAGAGAGGGAATGGCAGCAGCTGGATTCTACCAATATATAGATTGGTTGAAATAAATTAGATACAACATATGTTGGTATCTAATACTATATGGCAGTATTACCTTTTTTGTATTATAATATAGTCTGTTTTGATGCTGATACTGAAATCAATTTGTAACACTATAACATAGATTGCTTGTACTTGATCCATCTTTATGTAGAAAATGACTTTCCAAATAAGAGAAAATAAGTGATTGATTTACTGTGGCTACTGTTATACACAGTGCTAATTTACGGTTAGGGTAGTATACTTTGGGGGCCTACTGTTTATTAATCAAAAACATGACCCACTATCAAAACACAGTTAAAGTTATGAGAAGAACAATTCACATTACAAAAAAGGAAATGCGTGACTTGTGTTGTAAAAAGAAGCAGGGTGGTGTTGCTCTTTTTATGTTTATATATAGTGTTCATAGACAAAGAGGGAGGGGAGGGGAGGAGAGGGGTGGGGACTTCAAAGAAGGGGGCAGCAAGGAAATGTGCCTGTTCCCATGAGCCTGAGTGGATAGAGCAGAGCCCACAAGCTGGCCCTTAGTCTGGGGTTCCAGTTTATGTCATTCATGTGGTACAAAACACCTCCAATAAATTCAGCATTTGTTGGGCCCTAGGAGTAAATGAAAAACCTTTCTAGAAAAAAGAAACTTTAATCAAGGCCTTTAAAATATATCATAAAAGCACAGTTTATTAACCCCCTACATGTTTTCAATTATATGAAAAAGTGGTATTCACAAAATGATCCCAGTTTTTGAAGAAGTTACATGCATAGGAAACACATACAGTGTTAAACACCAAAATATTAACAATGGGTGGAATTATAATTTAGCTCTAGTTCTTTTAGTTTATGCATTTCATCAACAAAAGATATTATTTATGCAAAAATAACTATTAGAGATTTTTGAGTTCCTAGATTGAAATATATGATAGCAAGTCATATATTTTTGTAGATAGTGGATAAATAATCAGAAGTTAGATATTTTTGTTTATACTTCAATAATTTGAAGAAATGATTTCAAATTGGGAAAATATTCAAATAAAATGAAAGATAGGCTTAATATGTATTTTATAGGTTGTATTTTCAGAAAAGGGAAACCACATTTTTCTCAAAGGTCCAAAGTAAGCTTTTGCTCTCTGTATTCTTTTAAACCGCCTCCAGATTTTTCATGTTCACCCACCAGTCTGCTATATAACTTTTTATGCAATTTCCATGACTTGTGCAAGGTTATATATTATTCTACACTATTGACTACTTCCAGTGAATACTTGACAATCAATCTTTGTAGAGCAATTTGGAAGGAAAATGAACACAGAGCATTTTAGAAAATAAAATACACATTTAGGTCATTGAGCATCTAATGTATCCTATTTGTTCGGGTTCATGTGAAGCTCTGTGGAATAATGTAAAAGGCCCTAGCTGAGACCTTTCTGGGTCTCCATTTCTTAATCCAGAAACAAACCAATAAAAACAAGAACTGCAATTATTATGCTACTCAAAGAAATTTAGCTTTTTTTTTTAAATGAAAGCACTTTCCTAACAAAGGATCATAGCTCTGCCTACCAGAAGATTATCATAGTGAGTACAAAGCAAAAATACAGTCCTAGGTGACAACCAATTGAGAACATATTTCCGTAATTACACTTAATGCTAGCATATAGCAGGAGTCCAAGTTTGAACTTAAGTTGTATGCAATTTAGTGTCTCGAATGAAGGTAAGTCCAGAACACAGGCAGAGCAAACACTCTACGGATCTCTGTGCATGCAACAGACCAAGAAATCGTCTTGGGCAAAACCTCTCAATATGAGCAGAGTGAGCCCAGTATTTCCATCTTGGTCCAATAAGATGGTGGCAGTTGGTGGGGGCAAATGATTTTATATACTTGGAGCTGCTTCCTGCTGAGGATATTGTGCTTTGATTCTCCGGTTCCCTCTTTCCTGCCCTGCCACCCCCAGGGAGATTCTGGCCTCTCACTTCATGAGAAGGAGCTCCCAGTGGCAACATGACAGAACAGCAAAGCTGGTTTTCCACCTCAAGCCCTTGAGGTGTGGAGAGCACAAGGCACGGGTACTCTGAGGTTGAGGCAGCCGCGGTCCAAAGGTCAGAGAGGGGCTTCTCCCTCTAGGAGGCTGGCTTAGGCCTGCGTGAAATTAGCACAGCAGGGCCTGGATGGGTACTGGCAGCAATGGTGTTAGCAAGACACCTTTACCAGGCTCCCAGAGCTTCAGAGCGACAACAGCAGACAGCATGAAAAAGAACTGGGGGTGGGGGGGGGGTATGGAATTCTATGCTACCGCCCACAGGGGTATGTTTATGAGCACAGGTGAGGCATTCTAGGAGAATTCCTGGAAATAACTGCTTTCAAAGAGACCAGAGGTTGCATGAGAGTAGGTAGAAAATTCTATGTGTCACTATTTTTGTGATATGTGTCTCTACAAATACGTATGTGGGAATGTACGCAGCTGGATTTTGTTTTGAAGTTATAAGATTTTGGTTCTCTCTGCTCACTCTTCCTAGCTCCTGACTCTGCCAGTCAGGCCACAGTAATGGCTTTGCTGAAGGCGACTGAGAATAAATCACCTAGTTTCTGGTATTTATCAATTTTGAAACAAGGAAAAGCTATAAGTAGCTAATAAATATTCTATGCTCAGGTTTTTAAATAATAGCTCCCTCTTGTAATCTGTAAAATTGGGGGGAAAGGCTTTAATAAGCATAACTACTTAAAATGAGGTGAATAATTTTGTGACATTCCATGCAGAAAAATCCCAGAACAAAGAAGACAACTGCATTTCAAGAAGGAGGTTTTAAAACACAAAGCAAAAACAGCATTTTCTAAAGGAAGGCTTCCACTTGGAAGAGTATGGCTTTCCTCACAATGTACATAGCACTTTGTGGATCCGAGGAACCAGAATGTAAAGAACTTAGCTCAGGAAACCCGATGGTAAGGGAAAGACGACATGAGAATGTACATGGAGTCAGAATGGGACAAGCAGACTGGTGGAAGAGGGAAAGAGGAGATACTGATGGGATCTTGAGGAAGGGCTAAGCAGCATGTCCCCTTGCACCTTGCCTTGGGGGATGAAAAAAGAGAAACCTTAATAATAGAGAGCACCTGTCATTTATGGAAAATCCAGAAGTAAAGAGGTTTTGTTAAAAGGGGCTGCAAACCTCTTAGAAAAATCCGTAAGACCAAGATGGTGTTGCAGCAATAGGTACAGACAGCGTCCAGATGGAGGTTCTGCAGCCTCACAGAATGAGCTGCAGTGCACTGCGGTGTGAGGAGAACTACTGAGGCTGCGGAGTGTCCAAGCAGGCACAGGGGTTCTGAGAACACTGGCCGACTAGAAGGGCTAGGGCAGTGGTAATGCAAGAGGAGTCTGCAGAATCTTGTAGTGCCGAAGTAAGGAAGCACTACACCTCTGTGATATTCTTTCAAAATATGTATAACCTCAGCATTTTAGAAACCATAATAATAATGAGAACAGTTGCCTTTTAGCATGCATTTATTCTCTGTCAGGCACTGCAATGAATGCTTTACTTATATTATCTCAATTTCTCTTTCTACCAACGCCAACGCTATTACCGTTACTATTACAAGAAGCTAAGACTCATATCTGTGGCATGTTCCTTTGGGCTATGGCAATTCTTGATGCACATATGGATTGCAGAATCTCTCATAACAACTCATGGGAAACCACAGCGTTACTTACAGCATTCATTTTTAAAGCAGGTCTACATTCCATTACATTATTATTTGCCTTTTTATATTTTTCTGTATCTTCAAAATACCAGTAATTCGCCTCTTTGTCACAGTGCTTTGATCTCTAGGAGAGTGTCTTTCAGATAAACAAATGTTCAATAAAAAATTTTGATAACGCTCATTTCTGTTTTATAACAATATATCATATGATACATATTTTGCTTTCTTCACTCAAGAAGATTTCATGAAAGTCTTTCCAAGCTAACTAGCATAGCTCCAATTCACTGTTTTAAGTGAGACATAGTATTCTGTGGTATAAATAGACCATAATATTTCTCTACTGGTTAATGTTTTCTATGCTCCCCCAATTTCCACCCCTGAAAATGATAAAATAAGCACTCTTATTTATTTGGCAATGCTTTTATTTTCAGGTGATACACTGCTAAGATGAAGTGCAGAGTTCAGAGTATATGCATTTTAAATTTTAATTGATATTTTCAAGGTGCTTTCTAACACACTACGAAATTCATATATCTGCCAGCAATGTGCAACAACACTTTTTTGTTCATATCCCAAACACCAATAGCAGCTATTGGTTTATTTTGTTTTGTTTTCATTTTGGCGAATCTAAAGGCCGCTAATCCATTGACTTTCCTCACGTGCTAGTGCCTCTGAGCATCTTCGCATATTCTCAGTAGCTGCTGGATTTTTGTGTTGTGATTTGTTTGTCTGCATCTTTTGTCTATTTTCATTGTTCTGCCCCATTGTTCTCCATTTAAAATAGCTCATTGTATTAAACCTGTCTTCTACAACACAGGTGTACTTCACGTCAATTTTTTAAACCTATTTGTTTATGGTGTTTTTCATAGAAAAATTTTAAAATTTTTATGAAACCAAAGTCATTTTTCTTCTCTTTTGTGTTCTTTTATTGCGCATCTTTCCTGCTCCTAGATTCAATATGCTGGTCTCTCCATTTCTTTTCGGAATCATAAATTGATTAGTTTATTAATGAACTTATTTATTTATGTAGACGTTTTAATTTTCTCAATATCTC